GATTTTCATTGCATTGCGTGTCGCTACACCGCCCAAACTGGGTCAACTTGTTAGTCGATAACAAACTGTCAAAGCAATGCGCCAATATTCCCTAGGTACTGTATATATATATATCTAAGTTTGTACGCTTCTTCGTGTATGCATGAAAGAGAAATTATTGAAACTGCCGAAACGCGACTTTTGAGTTTGAAAACTTTCCAGATACATTTTTACATTCTGTTTACTATCTGGCAATATGGTTTTGGAAGCGAGAAGCGTGCATTTCTGATATTCCCAGGGGCAACAAATTGCTTCATGTTATGAGTTTTTTAGAAATTTAGAAGGACATATCGGAATTTTTCTATCAAATAATAAATATTTGTGAATTAAATATATTAAAAAAATAGTAGCTTTTAGCAAATTAGAAAAAGTGGAATCAAAATACAAAATCTACAAGTTTACATTTTAATCGCTTTGCCCACCTCAACGCTTAATATTTCCATTTTCTTTTAGAGGATTTTCTCCATGGAGGTCTCTTCGTTGCTCAACCCGGGTATTGGGTATCCCAAATGCATGGAGCTTTTATTATTGGCTAAAACAATAGGGAGCTTTTACAGAGTCACTCCGAAATATTCGGTTTAAAAGTCCTGGGAGGTTTTAAGCAACGTCTGTTCAGCAGAGATGCAGCTGCAAGCGAAGTTTAGTGGTAACTCAAGATTATCAATTTCATTAAAAATGAACAAAATGACTAAGCCTTCCACTGCGATGTCAAAATCGCAGCGATTTTAGTGCCAAAAGAGTGAAAAAGGGATCTTAGACACAACTGTCAAGCAACAAAGCTGAAGCTGCTCAACTCAACCAACAACCGAGATAAAATTGTTTATTGTATCAGATTCTAGCACACAGGTTTACACAAACGTAACCTGAATCGAAAATCTCATTTGTTTTGATAGACGTGAGATACAGATACAGTATTGTATGACCTATACGAGCACAAAGTAGAGCGTAGAAAAATTGGAATCAAAAAAGTCGGCGCAATGATTTTCTGCTCGGCTTGCACTCTTGCTCTCTAAGAACCCTCAACGACAATTCGATTTTAATGAACTGCAGAATAGAGAGGGCTTAAACGGATCGCTGCGATCGACAGCAAGAGATTTTCAAACAGAAAAAGAGAAAAGACATTTGAGAAAGTATGAAGAGTTTGAAATAATGGTCAATAGGACAATTGTAGAAAGTTCTGTGAAGATGTTCTGCTATTTATGGGTAGTTTTAAAGCCAAAGCATACAAATTTAGGATTCAATAAAGCAACTACGACGGCATAGAAGTTCTATTATCCCAGATGATGAATTTTTTTAAGCAGATTTTTTTTTTATTCAACCCTGGAGAAACAAATACGAGCAGCAAAACTTAATTACGCTAGCACAATCTTCAACAATTTTTTGATTGCCGCTGATATCGAAATCAGCAGGCTTATCAACTAATCCTTCCTAATCCTTCTCAAGACTGATTCGTTTCAAAATCAAGTTGAGAACCTCCTGGCTTTAATCGATGTTCCTAACTGACGCCGAAATGCAAAACAAAGGAGCTGCTGTCTGATTAGTCTTCTAAACATAAAGATTTAGGTTAAAGAAAAAAAACAATTTAATCATTCGAAAAAGTACAAAAAAAAAAATATGGAATGTACATAAGCACGCTTTCGATATAAAACTTAAAAGGCTTATCGAGTAGGAGTTGATTTAATTAAAGGCATTTTTTTAGAAGTAATGAGGGTTTTTGGGTGGACTAAATGCTTTTCGATATATTATTCCCGTCAGAAAGATTTCAGATTTTATTTATATCTTCATAAAAAAATGATTTTTCTCTAACTTTAAAATAACTGATATGCCGGTATAATCTAGATACTGAAAATTTTTTTGAAATATACCAACTTTTTCTTATTGTGTCTTGCCACAACCCGCATTAGAGCAAAAAATTTTACCAATAGCTGATTTGCGGGCATGCCCCGAAGGTAGAGAAGCGCCAAGTATGGCTGGTACGAAGAGCTAAGTAAGAGGTATTTGCAGATAAAAAGAGCAACGAATAACGCAGCTGATGGAACCATGACGACATCGGCATGATCAGCGGCTGTGTTCTCGAAGTCATGTGATCCGGAAGAAGTTTCTGATGTAGTAACCGCTGGAGGAAGCAGAAAAGAGGAAAGTCTATACTCCTTTAGAAAGACTAAATGCAGAAGTAACTGAATGCACTGGGTATTTTCAATAGGCACTTAATAGAGAGGAGAAATTGCATGAAGCGCAGTTGTCAACTCGACTATAATCACATTAATAAGGTCTACGCCAGGAAAAAGGAAGCAGTTATATAGTAAGAGAATATAAAAACATAATAATCGTATTCATCAATCTTCATTTAAACAACCTTATATTGCTTCCCCTACCAAAGTAAAAGAGAGATTCACATAAATGCATCCTTATCGATTTCCACAATAAGTTATTTCAATTTATGTATGTATCTACATATATATATGTGTACTCATATAAATTATTCGACATTGTTTTCTAACTTCCTGCAGTGATTGCCACTTACCAATAAGTCACACTTTGTCAAAATTTCGTTATTCATAAGTGACCTCCTATGGAAATAATGGAAAAATGTCAATTCAAATAACTTGTGTTTCAACAAACTATGCACTTCCTGCATTGAAATCACTGCGTTTAGAGCATTTTCCCCATTCCACATGATATGCCCATCCACAGCAATAACAAAAATGTATGAATTATTCGGCATACGAGTATATCCAATAACACTCATCAAGGCAAAGTGAAAGTGAGTGAATCGAATTGCCATCAATTTGAATGCTAATGATAACTGAGCGGGATTGAACTGTAATGGTTGAAAGACCAAAAAACAAAAAACAACAACTCTAGTGTAACACATGAGTTTATTGAATTCAAATGCTTATACTGACACCTATGTATGTGGCTGATTTTGTAAGTACAGTGGTAAATATGCGTATGTGTCTGTGTGTGTATGTGTGGGTTTGTTCTAAACTCACTTTAAATGGAAATTTTTATCTCTGACTTGATGATGAGTTTTTGAATTGAATTGCATTTGATGCTTGGAAAACATATAAAAAATTCAACAAAAATAACAACATTTAAGCATACTTTGAAGAGAAAACGATAAAGAAAAGCTGAACTCTAAATACCCTTCATGAATATTTAAAAGCTCATTGCAATGCAAGTGCTACGCTCTGAGATGCTTTTCCGACTGAAACCTCAACCAAATTGATATGCCGGAACAAAGAAACTACATGAGAACTGTAAGCTATAGTAGGACGATATGGCCGTTCCGAAAAATTAACAGTACAGTATAAAAGTACGTCTCCCTAGTATGTTTGATTGTAATACCCCTAAAGCTGAGCGAGTAAAAGACCAATAAATTAACTTAGCTCTTCACAGCTCATTATAAATTTTGGTGGGTCTCTCTCTTCTCCATCTGATACTTATTAAGATACTTCTGAGCAAAACTAATATACCAATTCATATTTGTGAAGGGCATAAAAGAAAGCTCTGAAAGTCGACTTAGCCATGCAGAATTAAAAAAAAAACTGAACTTTTCTCAGCAGTCATTTTACGTAAATGACTATTGAATTGCATAAAAAAAGCACACAAACAAGAAATAGGGTTGAGGAAATATAAATATATGAGTCTGTGCACATTACAAGCCAGTTGCAGAAAATTTTTATTTCGTTTGAAATTCATAAAAGAAACTTTATCTATGCTGCTGTCAAAGGCTGTGTAAATTCTTTTGTTTTTTTTTTAATTTCTTTTATCCTAAATTAATAGCAAAAACAGGAAAATAAATAAATTGAGTTTTTTAATATATACATACATAATTACATTCCCTTATACAATACTGCATTAAGAGTGATAATAAAATATATATAGATGCTCAAGGGCGCACTCCAATAGGCACCTAATAGAAGCACATCAGAAAGGGAGAACTCGACTTAAAAAACACCATCCAGCAACATGTACAACAACCGCGGGATAGGACGGCGTACAGACAGGCACTGAACGCTATTCACCAGGAGTCAGTCAACACCTTCATTGGCTCCGTACAAGTATATAGCGTGCTCGGAGTAAAGCCATCACCCATTACAGACAATGAGCTCGAGCTGCCTCGAGAGAACGGCGTTAATTTGGCACAACTTAGGTCTGGATACGTTAGCAGGTTAAACCATTACTTATCCAGATTCGACCCCAGCATATCCAACGTATGTCCTGCATGTGGAGAGTCTCCGTACGGCAGTAACCACCTCTTTATATATTCCCTTAAGCCGACTCATCGAACCCCTCTGCCCTTGGTCCAATCCCATCGAAACAGATCGTTTCGTGGACCTCCGACTAGATGACCTCGGTGACTTAGATTAGTAAAACCTGTACTTAAGAGAGTTAGCAAACCGCTACAACAGCACCAATAACTACGACGAACTAAGAACCGCAGTGTTCTACCACTGCGCCAACATATAACCATATAATCTGTTGTTGTATTATTCAATTCATTATTAATACACTCGCCTGTTAAGTCAGAATCCGTTGGTTCGATCCCTGCCTTAAGAAGTCTGATGAGAAGATGTTTTGATCTCCGAAACAGCTGCCACTTCTACCATTTTTCTTTGCTGTATAACAAATATTCAACTCATACAAACAACAAGGCCTCGTAGTTTACTTAATAGAATTAGTATATAGCATGACCGCAAAAACAACTTATAAAAAATTATTTAGTTAAATCGCATCTACTAGCAAAAAAGTCCTTTACTAAGGTAGAAATCAATATAGTCTACCCAAATTTTGCTTGAACGCTTTCTTTCCAAAGCATTGCTTTCATTAAACCATAAAACGTCTGTCTGTTCATATAAGCAGTTTTCTTTTATTGTTTCTCTTTCTAATATGTATTACTTTTTAAGTAATATAAAAAGACTAAATTTTTTATACATATATTTTTTTTTAATTTACAGGTCACATTAACAAACCACAGCGGAAGAGTAAACCTCAATAAAATTAGAAGCTCGGAGGCAGAGGTTGATGAGGTTGACGTTAGTGTAGTAGTAACGGCGAATTTAAGAGGAAATATATTTTTTGATTTAAATATTTATATTAAATACATAAAATAGTAATACAATTTAAATAAATAAAATATTTTTATAAAGAATAATCAAATATACAAAATCCTTTTTTTATAAAGACAAAGTATATGATTTATGTTGATGAAATTTAAAAAAAAAAAACTTAAGTAGTTAATTGGACCTGAAATCAAAATAATAATAAAATAATAGTGACTAAAAATTATATTTCAATATCAGTTGAGCTGCTGCGGCAGCTGGTCATTATCAGTGCACTCAGGTCATATCGCTGTGAGGTTTCTACTTTCACCTGCTCAAACGATCGAACCACTTCAAGTGTCTTATAAAGGCAATGAGATTTCCAATTTTCCAGCTGCCGCTCAGCGAGATATTTTAATATGAGAGCGATAAAAATTATGTTTTAAAGATGCTCCTACATCCACTATTCAAGATGGCGAACAACAACAACCTTACAGGAAGAAGGTATACTTGTACTGAAAACTTTTAGTTAAATACCTATTCTGGAGTTAAGCTTATACCAGTTGGCTAGTCACAGTTCACCTGTAATGGGAATAATAATAGTTTCCACCACCGCCAGCTGCAGTTCCAATTTTTGGTATGCATCTTGGTAGTTTTCCAACAAATGGAGGCACCTACATTTTATTCTGAGCCGCCTCTAACCGTCAGAAGAATGGTAGGTGAATGGATTCTTACGAGAACCTATTAGTTCAAGTCGCAAATATACTCAGACCGTATTTAGAAAAGTTAATTCGGTGTTTCTCGAGTCAGGACTTAAACTGTGGCCTTCCAAACAGCAGCATGCCATGCTTACTACTCGGCAATTCTATACTTCACCTTTATGTAGTTCTTTTCTGTAGAGGAAAACTGCATTGATGGATTAGTTAATTTTAATTTTAATTTACAGTGCTCAATGCTGACAATCAATCAAGTTAAGCCTCGCCGCCATATCATGTACCAGCGATCCTACCGTAGCATATAGAAAAATTACGTCTGCTTGTAGAACCTCTAGATACTGTGAGTCCCAGGATCATTCATATGTATAATTAAAGAACGCTGAAATGAATGGCAGTCTTTGGGCTTGGGTGCAGGTTTGGTGAAGGACCTCCTCCTTAGTCCGCAAATGAGTCCGTCGTTCCGAGGTAAGCTTTTTAATAAGTGAGATATCCCCGTGGATTGACGTAAGTTATGGGAATAGAGGAAATGAGATTTCAGAGAGGAAATTGATGCAGCACAAGCCATTATCATCCACGCTGCATATGTTAGCGATATAGAGGTGATCATCGGATGGGTTTAGTATATTTCATCGGTTCTCCATTAGTAGTAGAAAGTCAACTGCGTGGACTAAGGGGTCTTTGATGTACGAGAAAAGGCGAGGCATTTAATAGCAAGGCTAAAGCTATAAGTCTAACGCCTTAAACATCAGCCAACTTTACACCGAAGTGGAAAGTATTGAGGGTATGCCTGATATGCCCTTGGGATGTGTCACTAGAATGTTTGGTGAGTTGGTTCGCTTGACCTTTGGAGTTAAATCGAGTGATGGAGATGAAATAGGTGGAGCTTTTTTAATGTTTCGAATATTTTTTTCCAATCTCACTTTGAGCTCGTACAATCATCTCGGGAGAGCTTATTCCGTAGTGCGATTTATCTATACCCTCAATCCCATTATTCAAAAAAGAAAAATCGATGAAATATTCCCATTAAGCAAATCTTTATTACTTTTCAGGGATTTTTTCATACATTAAGCACACCAATAATCTTCCCAAGTCAGCAGTGTTTACAACAACACACTACGACACAAAAGAATGAAGACGTGCATTGAAATTCGCGAAAAGATAAGGAAAAGTTCAAAACTTCCGAATTGCGGCAGACTGATGTTGCACTCAACAATGACATCCGAGTCGATTGTAATGGTGGTAACAACGGCAGCATCTGGAACAAATGACGCACGTTCCAATGCAAATATGCGTCATCCCATCGAAGGCGTGTCGCGCTGCAGCTGAGGCAACACAGAGCAACCAAAAACAAAACGTGGAAGTTAAGCAAAGAAATACACAAAAATTACAAATATGCACCAACGTCGTTGAGTTTTAGTGGAAATATGCAAATAAATATGCACTACATATGTAAATTCCATTCGTACAAAAACACAAGAACGTAAAAGAAATGGAAAGAAATTGGAACTGAAGCAGCAGCGAAAATAGCATTGACAAATTCCTAATGAAGTTTACATTCGCCTCTTCCTTTATTCTCTTTTAGTTCATTTTTTAATTCAAGTGATGTTCGATGATGCCTGCATTTATTCGGCATGACTTGCGCTGATAAGTATGCAACAAAAATGGGGGGAACAAGACATGGCATCCCTATAATGAAAACATTGCAGAAATGGCACGTAAGCGAGAGGGAGAGAAAACGAGAGAGAGAGAACTTTTAGCCTTAGTATTACACTGAAGCTTTATCAAGCACAAAAAACCTTACGTTCCTTTGTATACCCCGAAAAGTTACCGACAGAAATGTGAACCTTGGATTGACTTATTCGAGAAACTCTTAGTTATTGTTCGTGTTTATTGAAAAACTAAAAATTCAATGCATAGATGGATTTTTGCTTAGAATAAGAGGAACTATTCTTTCTTTCGGAAAGTGAACTGAAGGTCGACCTGTTTCTGTTGGCTTAATTTTTGGACAGCATGCCTAAATCGAATATAAGAGAAGTATTACTGAAGGGTTGTATAGGAATTAACATGATTTTGTTCCAAGCATAGATCATCCGTAGGTATGTGCAGGAAGTCGAAATCCTTATCCGGCGCTACGCTGCTCGTGAGGAGCTTTATTTTGTCTCCAGCGGAATGGTCTATTATATCTCCGAGCTGGAATAAATGGAAGAAATTTTTGCGTAAAACTTACATCTCAGACGATGGAATGATGAACTGTATGAGATATACGTGGCAGTGACATAGTTAAGCGGATAAAGAGACAGAAGCTAGAAACCTGAAACTTTGAAAGATTTCGAAGCAGTTCCCGCCGTTCGAAGTAGAGGAAGAGGGTGAACAAGGAGGGGAGGTCAGAGCTTCTCTAACAGCAATAAATGCACTTAAATTTTTCACGAATAGAACGAAACTTAAAAAAAGGGGTAATTTTTCTCGTAAAACCGAAGGAGGTAATATAGTGGCCAACCATTCTACCAACTTTTAATTGCATTGAAAGCGAAACACCAGGAAGAGATGATCCAAAGATCAAATTTATGAAAATGGATTGATTAACGTATTGAATTTCTCAAAATCTACTACAGAAATGGTGGTTCAATCCTGGACACATTTCGTGCTTCCACACAATTGTCCAACTACTCAAGCGACTGGTATTGGAATTTGAAAAGACTGGATGCGCTACAGATATTTTAAGGACCCTGCACCATCGATTTACTCGTTTTACTCAATCCTGCTCAAATATCGTTATAGCAAGTGAAAGGGTAGCCGAAGACCTGAATGTGTCTCTTTCCCGACGTTCTCACGAACTGGGACTTTCTTACGTCCTATCATGGCGTATCTTGCACTCAAACTTATATCTTCACCCTTACAAAGAAAAGCGCATGCAACCACCGAAACAACTTGATCATTCATAAGGCGATTGGGTTCTAGATCAACCGGCATTGGACGGCGATTTTTCGAACAAAATTTTTTTCGCCTACGATATGCATTCTTTACTCGTGGGTTACATAAATAAGAAACTTTGTTACTTTTTGGCTTCGTTTATCCTAAAATAAATGAAGAGACCCCATTACGTCCAAAAACAAACGTATTGAAAAGTGTGCTCTTTGGTCCGGCGGTGTAATTGGAACCTATTTTTTCGAAAGTGATAACGACGAGACTGTCAATGTCAAGTCGAATTGCTGTGACACATAACACGAGAGAATATGGTTTTATTATGAGCGAAATTTACCCGCAACATAGTCTCTTCTCTTGGCGATAACAATTTGCTGTCGAGATTGTGCGATTCGCCAGTGCTGGAGTATGCAAAAGAGACCTTTAACTCTTGAGCAATGGGCTACAAACATTCGTCAAGTTATCGCTAAAATCCCGCTCAATATGTTCTTAAAAGTGGTCAAAATTAACTCAAACGGAACAAAATTTGCAAAAATTTACAAAAAATTTGAAGCATCAAACTTTATAAGAAAAAAGGAATGTCATAAAAAAAATTACATTTATTTTCGAAACCGCCAATATTACAAAGGAAGCCAAAAGTCACTCGTCATACAAATCACTAAAGAGTGTGACATCGATTTCCACTACAAAGTTCAGCGCGAAAAATTCATCTTCTATAAAAGCAGAAAGAGAATGAAATGGGAAAGAAAAAGAGAGACCAATGCAGAGAGATAAATCAAAGTGTCACGCTTCCAGCAAAAGCTTAAATGAGAATATTCATTCAATTGACATTTAGTGATGGGAAACGGACTTTGAATAAAAGAAAAATGTTTGCGCTCAAATCAATGTGGCAATCTAAGAGGAGGAGAGCGAGTAACGCAATAATATGAACAAAACTTTCAGCGTTAACTGAATTTGTACAATTTTGACAGAGAGATAAATAACAATTTGAGTTGTGCGTTGCACGCACAGTGTATAAAAAAAGATCTGGTTGTTTCAAGATTTAATCAAACCGCTCTTTGTTCGGTAAAAATTAGTATCAGGAATTAAAGAATTTTCATCACAATTCCAAAATTTAGCTATAGATCTTAGATGTAGGAACCAATACGTCCAATTCGTCGGTACTTTTATTCGAGTAATTAAGGATTTTAAGATTGCCGCTGAAACACTAGAAGAATTTGGAAAAATATTAATGGAAAAGTCCGCCCGAATTCTGACGGAGCTCTTTGCATTTGTCAGTGATATCTTGCACAGCCGTGTTTTGAAACAAACTCAATTAAAGTGACAAAGAAGCAGCTTCTTTTCCTGCTAATAATGTGTAGTCAGTTTGCTTGAGCTTAACTCTTTCATACCTTACGCTCGATACTATTTAAAATAGGGTTGTGGTTAACATTAGGCATTTAACATTTGGATGACGAGAATTTATATCACTCTTTGGCAG